CTCTTTCTTATTTTATATTACAAGTGAATTTACATGGGTTTCACGTATAATTTCCTTATAGGCCTATGAGATCGACCAAAAATCGTCCCGCGATTGACCGGTCGATCGTGATCGACGTGTTGGACATGCCTGGTCTAGAGGTAAAGCTGGAGACTTGTATTCTGGAGGTACTAAGTTCGAACCTCGGCCAAGACACATTCTGAGACTCTTCCTGGTTTACCTCAGTTCATCCAGGCAAATTCGGAGTAGGCCATGACTGCTTCCTTCCAAATCATTTGAAATTCATCATTCGTCTACCATCCTATTATCCGACTATACTGAGAGCGTCCTAATATAACGAAAAAACATAATTTTTTTAAAGCCACACTACGACTTGGAGGTCTGCTTCCACTGTAACAGTGTTACTATCACTTGAGTCCCGCCGTGCTTCGTCCAATATATTGGTCAATATTATTTATGCACGTGCTCGTATAGATGTGCCAACTTTAGCGGGTAGAGGGTATCGCGTGGCCAGCGTAACGAATCCCCACGACTGTTAATTTCGGTTTCATAGACCGGAGCCGCTTCTTTTCAATTCAAGTAGCTCCTCATTTATCCTCACGAGGCTGAGTGGACCACGTTCCAGAACCACTACTTCTAAGAAAATCGGGTAGCCACGGGAATCAAACCCGGACCTCTGGATCTGTAGCCAGGAACTCTGACCACTAAACCTTCGCCGACAAGTGATGGTCGTTGGGTCGGTATAGTTCGCTTGTGGACTAAAACCACGGAAAATCTCGTATAAATGTATGTAACAACGTAGGACTAAGTTTCAACCAGAACTGGAGCCAACGTATTTGTTGCACTCGATTCTTAGATTGATTTCAAGAGATAAGTACTGAAGCCGAGGGTTGGGTGATGTGAGGGGAATGGAAGTGCAGAAGCTTACGCGTATAGCAGGTGAAGAAATGGGGAACAGGACGGATGACCAGATATGTGGAATACTAGTCAGGTGTAGAAGAGTCATGAGTTCACTAAAATGAACAAAAGAGCGAATGGTGTTAAAAATAAGGCAGGATATTAATAAACTGAGGGATGCAAAATACAGTTTTGGAGATGACAACCAAAAAAAGTAAGGCAAATATCCCCACAACATGAAACGAGAAGGAGAGAGGGATGATGATGTCTGGGTTAGAAGAAAGAAGACAAAAAGGAAGTGGTACATCTGAATAAAAGACGAGGGCATCTCAGTGCGGAGGGTTGCTGAGAGCAATGCCAAAGAGTGGGAGAAGCGTATTTACTTCAGGGGAAGCAACCCTTCCTTCCAAGCGAAACTAACATTGCAAAAACAATAGGGACGGAGGGAGGGAACGAGGCCTACAAACGCTGCTTCAAGACTTGGAGACCGAGTGCGAAACGCCCCATCACAGAATCTCCCGTCGTCAGCAGTAACTGAATTAGAAAGAGAGTACAGAGGCTTATGATTTCCGCAGATCTGTTAAGATTTCACTCAGCACAAGGGAACAATCCAGCTCGTTATCCCTTACTACTGCTCGTAACGAAGGAACGGATATGTCTATAGGCTGGCAATAAAAGACAAATATTCCCCCGTGTTCAGCTAAGTACCATGCCATGACCATCCATCGGAAAGTGGAGGTATAGCTCCACGCATTCTTAACTTGGGATCTACTTGGAGGTGAATGTTCAGCTTCGCGCCCAAGTCGCTCGAACATTGGGACAGGTGAACAGGAACCCTCGGTTTTCTTTGGACTGAAGACTGGGTGGGCCCTACTGGACAGTCCCCATCCCTGGAAGCCAACCCGTAGTCTAACTACACAATTTAGCTACGATGAACCCCGTAACACCGAAGGCACGTAGCACGCATATAATAAGGATTAATACAGAGGCACGAAGCTAAAAAGATAAAAGTTGTCCCTGTGCTTAACTAAGTACTACACCATGAAGGCGTATGGGGGAGTGCATGTATAGATCCATGTTTTCTTGAACTCGGCACTAGCTGGAGGTGAGTGGTCAGCTTCACGGTCCGGCCGCTTTACCCCCGGATAAAGAGCGCCCGGTACCCACTGCATAGGAGGTTGGGTGGACCCCAGATCCGGTCTGGATGACGTGGAGAAGAGAAAATTCTTGACCCTAGCGGGACTCGAACTCCGACCTCTAGGTCGTCCAGCCCGTAGGCAGGTACTATACCGTCTGCGCTATCCCGGCTCCTTACAGAGGGAAGAAACCGCCTGAAAAAGTAGGCATAATGTGGATAATATCAAACTGGAGTTTAAAGAAATAGGATGTGAGGGTGCGGACTGAGGTGATCAGACTCAGGGTAGCAATCGGTCGTGGAATTTTGTAATTGTACTTCCGGTCCCACAGGGTGAGGGAAATTTGTTTACTAGCTTCACAAGGACTTGCTCCATGTGGTTTGCTGTTAGTTTGATAACTTGACGAGTGTGGCGCTGATATTACAGGAGCTTCGGAGGACGATAACAGTAAGCAACTGGCTGGTCTCGGATGTGAAGACTGAAGTGTAACTAAAGAAGTTCTGTGGGAGACTGTTCTGCCTGAACCTCCATGGTCTGACGCTGCGTTACTGAAACCAGCCTCCAACCTTAAGTCCCATGGGGCCCCATGTGCCCCGTGTAACCTGAAGAAACATTTCACTCCACAACCGGTAGCGTTACGGTAGATTCTATCTGCAGACAGCCTGACAGTCTCTGTGAGAGAAGGAAGATCCCACTGGGTTTGCCTGAATGTGGATGTTCTGTTATCATAACTAGAGTTTAATTGTGTTGGGTCTTCCTTGGTTTTACATTACGCCTTCGCGTTCTGACGACTTCCACAACGTAAAAATACGGCACAGTTCATGTAATTATTATTATGGCTGTACAGCCTTGTTAGGCCTTGGCCGTTTTTTCAGTTTCTTGATCCTACAGTCGGTAGGACTCCTTGTATGGGGGATAAGCCAGTCGTAAGGCCGCTACCTACACACAGTAAAACACAAAGACAGGATAAACGCACACAATACAGACATCTGTGCCTTGAGTGGGATTCGATCTTACAATCCCAGCGTCCGAGCGAGCTAAGACAGTTCATGCCTTAGTCAACGCGTCCTCAGGCTGAGGATGGAGACGCCCTCCAGGTATGGCAGGTAGCTGCGAATATATTGAGTAAGCACTCGTGGACAGCCGACAATGGGTGGTCCTTCGGCATTGGGGTTGGGCGTGGGGCTAACACTCCTCGCCGTAAAAAATTAGCCTGTTATGAAAGATCACACCACTTAATCTGTGTTTCATAAACACAGTGTCTGTCTCCAAATGCACAAAAAAACTCCGTGATTTCAGTCCGCAAGCGAACCATACCGAACGAGCGACCGCCGCTTGTCGGCGAAGTTTAGTGCCAACTTTTGCGGATAGAGGGTGTCACGTGGTCAGCGCAACGAATCCCCACGGCCGTTAATCTCGGTTTTCTAGACTGGAGCCGCCAGTTCCTTGAAATAGCTCCTCACTTATCATCACGAGGCTGAGTTGACCCCGTTCCAGACCCACTACTTCTCCGGAAAAATCTTGTAGCGCCGGGAATCGAACCCGGACCTCTGGATCTGTAGCCAGGAACGCTGACCACTAGACCACAGAGGCGGTCCCAAATGCACAGAAGGTATTACACAGAATGTTGTATATTTACATTTTTCCAACCACTCACACAGTTTACAATGATGTAAGTAGTGACGTTCATACTGACAAAATTCGAGACCTGAATCATTTGAATGCAAGGACAAGGCGCTGGCAGGTGATAAGAGAGACGCTACAGCGTGTATAACAGGAAGCGAGATATCGATTGAGCGTATGGGGGGTCACTAACAGTGCACACGTGGAAACTTACTGATTACTTTAAAACTATTTGAGGTACACTTTAAAATAATTTTTTAATATTTTGTTTTCTAAATTCTTGCTCTCAAAATTCCACTTTGCGGATACTCCTCATTAAAATACAATATGTCTCTGCCACATGAGGTCATCAGCAGATATGTATGATTCATATAAATACCTGATGATGACCCCATGTGGCCGAATGATGTTGCAATATATACATGAAACAGGCTAAGTGGTGTTTAACCTATAATTTGCGAAGTGTTGCATTTATAAAACGGTATTACAAGCACGCACGCACACATACAGGAGCGTGCGCTATGTGTCAGGGGCCCAGTTAATCCAACAGGCTGCCCAGATGCAATATTACGGCACAAGTTATTTCTGGGAGAGATCTAAAATTGTGACGCACTTAACGAAATCCAGCGTAACTCAGAATACAAGCAGCCCTAGCCACTGCAAAATGCCGATCACAGTGGCCGCGCGGTCTGAGGCATGAACTGCCTTCGCTCGTTCGAACACTGGGATCGTGGGTTCGAATCCCACTCAAGACCTGGATGCCTGTGTGTAGGTAGCGGCCTTGCGACGGGCTGATCCCCCGTCCAAGGAGTCTTACCAACTGTGTATAGGATTAAGGAACTGAAAAAAAAAAGTAGCCAAGGTCCAGAAGGACTGTAGAGCCATAGGTGGACAGACAGACAGACGGATAGATGGACATATGGATAGAAAGACACTGCAATATGGGAAGTCATACACATACACACTCCCCGAACCCCGTCTCCTCTTGTTTCGGGAAAGGCCGCCATGTAAACTGTACATTAAAGATATTTTCATTGTGAGTTTTTTTTGAACGGAGGTTCTCTGAGGCTGAGTCCTTTGCTGATATACCGTGCAGCATTTAATTTCAGAGAAATATTACCTGTGCCTTCTCTCTACATCTAACTTGTACTGAAAGCATGTTTCGTATGTGGAAATAAGCGAAGAAATTCAGAGCCGTCAAAACGCCATTACAGAAGCGAGCGCCCCAAGCTGAAAATCGTTGACTGTACGGACACACAGGGTTACTTAATCCCAGATTATGTGCACAGTTGGGCTTACGCTTGCAGCTAACAGAAGATGAGAGGAAAGGTCTGAATAACTCACCATTATGAGATTACATAAGCTTTTGCTCTGGATAGCGTCACTGACAACAAAGATGTCGGAGCTGGAAAGAGACAAAAAGAATACATGCAAATTAGATTTTTCAATTTATTATAAACGAAAAATACAGGCTGACACATAAGTTTGAATCTTAACCCAGGAACATGAAACTCTTCTCGAGCATTTTAAATGGTGTTTCACGTTATCATTAATAACGGTCCTGTTCTCATGAGGGCGATATTTGTAATTATAAGCCTCCCACTTGGATGAACAAATTGGGGGGGGGGGAACAGATGCCGCTATCTCGGGGAATGACTCCACAATACTCCTCTCATAAGGTGAGAAAGGAGAGTCTTCAAAATGCATGACGACTGCCTCTGTGGTTTAGTGGTCACAGTTCCTGCCTACAGATACAGAGGTCCTGAGTTCGATTCCCGGCGCTACCACATTTTCTGAGAAGTAGTGGCTCTGGAATGGGGTCCACTCAGCCTCGTGAAGATAACTGAAGAGTTATTTCAAGAACATAGCGGTTCCGGTCTAGAAAACCGAGATTAACGGCCGTCGGGATCCGTTGCGCTGACCACGTGACACCCTCTATACGCAAAAGTTGGCACTAACTTCGCAGACAAGCGGCGGTCGCTCGGCCGCTATAGTTCGCTTGCGGACTACAGGCAACGGAGTTTGAAATTCATGACAATAGATATTAAACAATATTTACTTTCTTTTCCGTAATATTTTCTTTTCATTGTGAGAAATGTGATACAACATGGTGGTCATGCGAAATCTGTAGGGCTTATTTACTTTCTCGTTCAAGAGCGACGAGCCATAGCTTCAGCGGATGTGACACCTGGAACGGAAACAAATTCTGTGAAATTTTCTGACTATAACTGATTCTTCAGAAACTTTTCGCTTAACTGTATTATCATTAATTTATAACTTCTATTCCCTATATAGATTTAGGCACCTGAAGGAAATCAAACATATCATAAGTATTTTATGTCGTCTAATATTCTCATAGTAATTTATTTTGCGTTTGTTTTAGTGCTTCGCGGATCTGTTTCAGTAGTTCTTCCGAAATGTACTTTGTAATTTCGTATATAAGCCAAATTACTCGTATTTAAGTATATGCTCCATTTATATACTAAAGCTTTCTAGTGCAATTCATATTTTATGTTGATTTAATCAAACGCTTCTGTCTTTCAGCAAACTTGTACAAATTCAAAATGTAGATCTAGGGGGGGAGGGAGGAGTTCGTACAACTTGTTATATTTTATGTATATATGACTCGTCGATCACATTTTCTGTTGCCTCTCCCCCCCCCCTTCAATGAAACCAAAGTTCCTATACACTCGTCAGTAACGACAGCAACAAACTTGAGGGTAACGGTTCCGTAAAAGAACTTCGAGAAGAGATTACGGTGTTTCCGCGGCGAAGAATCTCATCGGAAGAAAATGCCTGTAGAAGCCCTATGTAGGCCTATTGGGGCTCAGTATTGCTCACTCTCCTTTCAAACAGTTCGTAAACAAACATACCGCGTACACGATACGCGTATGTCAACGGATGGGCCTTTAGCCTCTCCCAATAGACGTAGGCCTGCAGCTGACTATTCGTCTTCCTGTCATCTGTATGATATATACATTCATCCTTCAGGATTTAGGTCTTTCCCCCTTTTCCTGCCTTCCACATTTTCCTTCCTTCCTATCCAGAGAGTTTGCTTCAGTTGCTCTGAAAGCTGACTTTCAAAAGAACTGTCACTTCTTTAGCTCCCTTTTCAAATGACTAAACCTCCCCTGTTCATACAGCGATGATGGCAGCAGAACAATAAGAACGGCTCTCAGAAAAGCCTCAGATTACTGCCTCTGAAAGTCAAGTATCCTGTGAAGAAACTTCTTCGTGATTGCCACCCAACGAGCCAACTAAAGTGGTACATATTACAGAAGATTACAAGACTTTCTGCAATATTAGATTCATAAGTATAACTGAGAGGTACTTCAGTTTTCGTTTAAGTTCTGTGACAAAAGACAAGGGGTGACGTTCTAACTCGTGGAAAGTCTCTTGAGAAAGGAAGTGTAACGAACTTTAAGTGTAGAAAATTGCGTAATAAATCCGAAATCAACTTGCGTGGGTAAGGCTTTGCCTAACAGCATCAGCGCCATCAGAGGTCTTCCAAGGGCGGAGAGAGGGCAGCCCAGAAAATCTTCGTACAAACTTGTGTTAAGCCCGTTTAAGAATATTTTTAAGAGTCTCACTAGAGATGCCGATCTCTATACCGAAACACATGCCGCCATATTTAAAAATAATTTCAATTTTTGGTATTAATATCGTATATCTTATTTACTCTTATCAAAATCCAGGGGGGATGACAGATGTGTGGCTTGTATCCCTCTTGTCGGCTCAAATGTCTACTCAGACATCTTAAGTATGGGCCTAATCTTCAAAAAGGAAACAGTCACATTAATGTCCCTCAAGGCATATAGAAAGCATTACTATATATATATCGAGAAGTTAACATCTCAGCCAGTTAATAGCCTTTTATTGAACCAAGATGCTCATTACCGTGTTCCTTTGTTCCAATCCTGTGCCAGATGAATCCAGCAACATACTAACACCGTATTTATTTCAGATCCATTTCAATATTAACGTCCAACCTATGCCTAATTACCCGAAAAATCTCTCCGTTTTATGTGTTTTTCCTCTGAAATCTACGATTTGAATTGCCAGCCTGAAAATAAAGATTTCTAAAATTAAATACACAGATGTACCATTTCCACTGCATAATTTGTAACGCCCGAAATGTAAGAAACATAACAAAAGAGCTGACTAACAGATTTTGGCCATGGTCTTTGGAGATGTCCCTGTGTTGTCTCGTAGAACATTTCTGAGGAACTTACTTCCCACATCTTCAGGACATAAATGGTAGAAAGAATGGTACCCACCTTACTTGCCTACTCACGGAGCTTAGCCCTTCTTGAGGAGCCACCAATTCCGCAGCCACTCAAGAATTCCCCAGCATTTTACGGAACCCGAAGGTTCATTACCGTGTTCACAAGTGCACTCCACTGGTCCCTATCCCGAGACAGATCAATCCAATCCATCCCATCCTATCTAAGATCCATTTTAATATTGTCCACCCACCTACGCCTTGGTCTTCCCAGTGGTCTCTTTCCTCTGGCTTTCCCTCCAATATCCTATATGCACTCCTCGTATCCCCCATTCGTGCTACATGCCCTGCCCACCTCATCCTCCTTGACTTTATCATTCTAATTATACTTGGAGAAGAGTACAAGTTGTGAAGCTCCAACCTCCTGTCACTTCATCTCTCTTTGATCCAAATGTTCTCAAACACTTTCAGTCTATGTTCCTCCCTTAATGTCAGAGACCAAGTTACACACCCATACAGAACCACAGGCAAAAATATAGTTTTGTATATTCTAATGTTTATGTTTTGATGGTAACTAGATACCAGATTATGCTGTGTTATAACCCACAATATCACACAGAGTCTCAGTTCTCATCGTCAGTAAGGGCTGGAACACACACTGCGACATCGGTCGGACGGAAAAATGTTGTACGATTTTTTTGCCATATGACCTCCTTTTCACACCAGAGCGACCAAATATATTTCTTTGCTCTCCGACTGTCGTACGGTAGATGTGGCATGTCGTCACGTGTGAAAGCTAAGACTGCACTTTATATTCTACTACTTGATGCGATATGAACCATACGGACGTCGTACGACCGATCTCGCTGTGTGTTCCAGCCCTAAGATGTCCTCCGGACTGAAACCACGAACGACCGAAGTGATATGCTTCACTAAACGAACAATGTCTTGCCTGCAATATAGGCAACTTATCGCGCACTTTACCCATGCGGGTTGCGTAATAAGCACCCTGGAACCATTCTATGCGCTATAGGACAACAAAGTACGTAGAATTGTCCGTAATCATACTTGCTAAGGGTCTTAACAGTTTCACCTCTAGATCATCGATCCTTTTTAGGTCTCTTGTCGCCAATGTTCATGTTTCAGAGCCGTATAATAAACCCCAAAGAACAATCGGTTTATGAAACGTCACGTATTCATCCGTCCTTACTCCCATTAACATACGCAGTTTCACTGTTCCTGACAATTTCTGGAGTAAGTCAATTACGACACCTTTCGTTATGTATCACAGCTTCAGCCCTCAGATGCTTCGCTCTTCTGAAATCAAACACTTTTATTTTCAGAGATACAAGGATTCTACAGGGTGATTCATACAGAACCGGCCCGACGAAATGAGGTGTAATACAAAATATACCATACAGATATTAAAGTAATGTACACATATCTTATCTTGGATTGTGTGCCGTGATCAGAGCAAGTGCTGAAAGTGTCCGCCGTTTTCAAGTAGGCATTAGAAACACTCGCTGTTCACCAGTGTACTCCATGACTGTCGCCTGCGCACTGCAGATACGTTTCGGCATTGTCCTTAACCTTGCAGCATAAGGGCTGCCACTTGCCGGATCATGCGCACACCATTCGACTCAGCACGGCCCACGGATTATTATGTCGTAATTGTGAGCGGTTATATGCATCACCTGCGGAATTATTAGCAAATTCATCGGACCGGTTCTATATGATTCACCCTGTATTTTTGCGCAATGTATGACGCGACCTTTATAATCACCTCCCGAGTCCAAAGAATACATCCTGATCATTTCCAGGCCATAGCGAGTTTCGAATTGTTTCTTCAATCAGTAACTCGTTTTTAAATTTCTCTGCCAATCCGACTTCGTCAATACAAAAATTAAATGAATTACGTGATATTGGAACCCTTGTCTAATTCCTTGCGTAATATCTCCATAATTTTCACTCGTTTTGGCCCCGGTCTAGAAAACCGAAATTAATGGCCGTGGGGATTCGTTGCGCTGACGACGCGACACCCTCTATCCTCTGAAGTTGGCACTAACTTCGCCGACAAGTGACGGTCGCTCGGTCGGTATAGTTCCCTTGCGGACTAAAACCACAGTTTGTTTTTTTTGTTTTTGTTTGGCTCCTGTATTAACTAAACTGTTCTGTGTGTAGGG